ATATATATATATATATATATATATATATATTTAGCCAAAATGTATGAGTTTTACAGGAAGGTATTAGTATTAATACCTTCCTGTAAAACTCACTGTGCAAGTGTTTATTGTTCATTCCAGGGGTTACGATTTCAATAAACTCCCCATATGTATTAAACTTTTAAACTATTTGTTTAAACAGTCACAGAACAGTCAAGTTGTATGGTTTCCCATATAACTTCGAACTGCGTCCTCTAGGGGTCGCTATGGGGAATGCCTCATCATGACCAGTGTCTGAAGCATACATTCAAAAAACACAAACAACATGTTGGCCAGCGACAGCCCATGACGTCACTACCGGTGCGACTATAGTATAAATAGGCACCAGGAGAAAACGTCATTCTTTTCTTCATCTTCATTGACTGTTTTGTATGAAACGTGAATTCTCATGGTAGTGTTTAGCAGTGCTCCCCTTTATCAAAGGGTTGCCTATGAGCACGCTACTACTTTGCGTTCTTTCTAAAATCCTGTATGGTGAGGGTTACGCGCAGCAGCTTCGTGCCCTTTCTTGAGTTGTTTAAAGCCCCGGTTCCTTCTTGGGCACCACTCCACCTATGTATCCTCTGGATACCTACTTTAACAGGGTGTTGCTACTAGGGGTCTGTTGAGACAGTTCCTTCAGCAAGCTCATGCAGAGCAAGCGGTAGCCCTTGTGTGACAGGCCAAGACTTAGTATGATGCTAGGCTCTTGGTCGTATCCCCTTAAAGGAATCTATTCCTGATTCCAAGCCTTGAGCTCTACCCCAGGCCCAGGAGTCTGGCCCTAACAGGTAAGTTTTTGGGGACAGCCGTCTAACATCCTAGGGGCAACTCCCATGGCTATGGTAGAGTTGGTACTTAGTGCTCGCCATAGGTTTCTGGCATGCACTCCCCTCAGCATGGTGGCGTGGGTATACCGTTCCCCATAGCGACCCCTAGAGGACGCAGTTCGAAGTTCCCTTGAAAGGGAATGTCTCAGGTTACTTATGTAACCATGGTTCCCTGAGTAGGGAACGAGACACTGCGTCCTCTAGGTTTCCTGCCATGCTTCGGACGCAAGCTTCAGACGAAGAAGTGAATGACGTGTTTTCCCGGCGCCTATTTATACTATAAACGCACCGGTAGTGACGTCATGGCTGTCGCCGGCCAACATGTTGGTGTTTTTTGAATGTATGCTTCAGACACGGGTCACGACGAGGCGTTCTTCATAGACCCCTAGAGGACGCAGTGTCTCGTTCCCTACTCAGGGAACCATGGTTACATAAGTAACCTGAGACGTTTTATATCCTAATAATATTATATTTGTGTGCTTAAACATGACAATGATACATAAAACTCATTCCTCAGGCACTAAGAAGGGTTTCTATTCAATCTCTTGTTAGTTTATTGATGGTATGTTTATTAATTAGTATTACCCTGTTTTTGTCTATCCACTAGGTTGTTGACGTGGCCACTTCCAGCAAAAATGATATCAACAATCGGGAAAAGCGGGTAGGTAATATAAAAGACACTTAATATCTCAGCTCACTGTTTTGACATAACATGTCCCTCAACTTCAAATCCCATAATACAAGATAATACAATAATACAAGACTTAATTTAGATTTAAATACACATATATTACATCACAGTAGAAAAACATAAAATAAAAATTAAAAAGCTATCTTTGAAAGACACCTTACTATCAAACAGAAGATTTAAAAAATCTGTCAAAATCTTCAGACTTCATCCTTAAGGTCTTTCCATATTGGGTTCAGTGAGTTTCACAAGGTCACACAGGATCTAATGCGCTTTATGTATTTTATTTGATTTATCTTTTATAATTTAAGTCAAATTATGAAGGAATTAAATGTTTTATTTCTTTTCTTTTTTCTTTTAAATCCTGTAGCCCGTTTTCCCAGAATTCCAGAATCAGAGAAGTGTTCCGTTTGAATCAGAAGAAGTCTGTCTGTAACTTTTTTAATAACTGATCACTCATTACATCTCTCTCTCTATCTCAAAGGATGCTGTTCTTATTCGTTCAAAGAGAAGATGGGTTCTGTCCACCATTGATCTGGAAGAGAACATGCCTGGACCATATCCCGCTATAGTAACACAGGTAACTTCACCCCGTCACTGATTGTTCAGCCTGTTTGTGTTCCTCATTATATCTCGTCACAAGCTCTGTCTTTTCTGTGTTACCGTATTCGGGATGTTTGGGTAAAGTTGTGTTTTTCTAGAGAGCCTACAGACTTTCATTATAGCACATGAGTATGCTACTTGCTAGTAGTGTTAGGTGGAGGAATATTATTCTGGAGAATAAAAATATTTTTGCCATGTTACTAAAAGATAAATACTCATTTGTAAGTCTCTTTGGATAAAAGTGTAAACAAAATGAATAAATGTAAATGTTAAATGTGTACAGTATGGACAGTATGTTCACTAGCATTTAGATGACCTCAAAGCTAGAGACATAAAACTAAAATCCATAAAACTCAATGCTGATTTGGTAGGGTTTTTCATGAGATGTCATTTGGTTGATGTAGGCTTGTATGTCATAATGGATTTACAATCTTAATAATGGATGCAAATACATGAATCATCATAAATTATACTGTACGTGATTGTCATGTATTTTTGGTTTAATTGATGCTAGCTGTACAATGACAAAAAGGAGGACAACACCATCAAGTTCCGCATCAAAGGACAAGGGGTGACAGAGAAACCACTTGGTTTGTTTACCATTGATGAAAACACTGGGATTGTATACGTACACCAGCCCATCGACAGAGAAGTGTACCACATCTTCCACGTAAGACAAAACAAGATTTGTTGAAATTGTAATGACACTAATGCTAACAAAACAATACAGCGGAATTCAAAGAATGCACTGATTCAGTTTATATTGATGTAGTCCACTGTGGCTTTTTGATTCTTTTGTAGGTGGACTTTGATGTGCTGGACAGGCAGACTGATGCCACGGTGGACAAAACGCTGTCATTTAATGTAGATATAAAGGACAAGAATGACAATAGACCTGTGTTCACTCCGAGCACTCTCCGTGTATCAGTTCCAGAGAACACGCCTGAAGGTTCAGAGAACATTTTACTGCATATATGAAGATAAAGCCTGCTTGTTTCCCTTATAATGCTTTCTTCAATCATAACTTAATATATGGAGACTATAGTAAGTTAGCCATTTGTAGGGTGACTTACCCTAAAAGTGTAAACATTGACGTTGTGTGGTGCTTTCAAAATGTTGCTTTGTTCAAGCATTCAGACCAGCTCAATACAACAACATTGACTAAACCAATGGTGCGTGTTTGGGGCGGGGCTAAACAGTTTTTTCTACCAATGGCAGATGGGGGAGTGGCTTGAATGCTCTGGAAAAAAAGGTCCAAAATCTGTCAGTGGGGCAGTACCCTTTCAATAGGTACATCGTTGTACCTTATTTACCCATAAAGGGTGCACCTTAATACCTTAAAGATACATATTAGTACCTAAAGTGTACATATTAGTAACTAAAAGGTACATATGAGTACCGCCCACCGACAGCTTTTGTACCTTTTTTTTTTAAAGAATGGAAATCTGTTTGAAAACATGAATTATATTTGGCGACACAGAAATGACATGCTCTAATACTGTTAGAAATTCAGTGTTATGATTTTTAGATTCAACAAATATTGAGGAATATTATTGTTCTTGATATTTTCAGATAAAATAATTAATTGTAATATTTTATCATACTATAACTTTTAAAATGTCAAAACTTCCTTCCCAATCCAAAAGAAGTTATTGAAACTAAACTGTTAAAGATAAATGCAAGCAGCGAGATTGTTCTCTCTTTAATCATTCTTGTTTTAATAGGCGTACTCCAAGCAACATTACAAGCTCATGATAATGATCAGAAGGATACTCCTAATTCCCAGTTCACCATGAAGGTGGTGTCACAAGACCCTGCCTCACCAACATTTACCATGAGGGACATGCCTGGGACCGCTACACTCAAACAGCTCGCCTTCACGGGATGCTTTGATTATGATGTAAGTAACTGATGTCGAATGCTCGTTTTCAACATTTTTCAGTATTTCTCATCTCTTCTGTCTCCCGTATTTTAGAAAGCAAAATCATATAAAGTGCTAGTCGAAGCAAGGGATCAAGGAACACCTGCAATGTTTTCAACTGCAACTGTTATTCTGGACATCACTGATTACAACACCCATCCCCCAGAATTCAGTTCGGCCACGGTGAGTCAGGCTAGTCACTCAATCCCAGTTTAATATGCACACAACTATAAGGAAGCCATGTGTAGATTGATGTGTTAAGAAAATGTAAACACTGTGAATGTGTAGTGCTTTCAAAACATGCTGTCTGACATTGAAACATTGGGTCAGCCAATGGCGTGAGTTTTGAGCTGACCAATGACAGAAGTGGAAGCCAGTTTTATATATATATATATATATTTATACTGTGTATATATATATATATATATATATATATATATATATATAGCCACATTAAAAAAAGTTTCAGGGAAAGAAACACTCCATGGATGTTAAAATGATAAAAGTTTTGAGGTCATTATTAAAAACTTTGAGTGAATGTTCTATAAACGTTACTGGGAAAACAATTGTACATAAATGTTGAAAGATAAAAGAACATTGCCAGAAGGTTAGCCAAAGTTCTGAATTAGTGCCTAGCAGCATTTAATGGTTTTGCTATATAGTTTTCCCAGTAACGTTTATAGAACATTCACTCAAAGTTTTTAATAATGATCTCAAAATGTTTTTTATGCATCATCCATGGAGTTTTTTTTCCCTGAAACTTTTTTTAATGTGGCTACTTGTTTCAGAACATTCAAATGTAACATTCCCATTAGATTTGCAAAATAATAAAATTGAATGTTCTTAACATTATAACTAAAAAAATTAAAACATAAAAAAAAACCTAGACATTTTGAACACTTAATAGAAAGAATGTTTTCATAACTTAATGGGAACTTTAGAAAATCATTTTATTAGAACACATTTTTGTTAGCTGGTTTTATGCTTAATAAATACTATGATTTTTTTATTTTTTTTATTTGGCTTTTTAATGAACGGTATGCCCACCATATACCTGTTTGCCCTCATCTGACCCAGGCCTGCTGTATGACCACGTCTCTGTCTTTATCAAATAAAGCTTGCACATGGATCCGCAAGTCTCACGTCTCGTCAGCCCCGTAACAATATGCTTTGATATAAATGAATATATGTGTGTGTAACAGTACAACACTGAAGTGATGGAAATGGAATTAAAAGAGATTCTAAGAATCGGCATCAAAGACAAGGACTCACCAAACACGCCTGGTTCAAGAGCGGTGTTCTCCATCCTGAAGGGCAATGAAGAAGGAAATTATAAGATTGAGACAGACTCCAAAACCAATGAAGGTGTGCTGTCTGTTGTCAAGGTAAATGCCATTGTTCCCTTTAAATATTTCATACACTTCTTAGAAAAGTTTAAAGGAATAGTAGATATAAAAGAAGATATTGAAGGAATGTTGGTACCAAAGAGTTTCTGCTTCCCATTGACTTCCATATTTTTTTTTCTCCAAACTATGGAAGTCACTGGTTACGATCAACTGTTTGTTGGTTGTAGCCATTGCTTCTTTTTCAGTTGAATTCATAGAAATGAAAAACAGACTTCACCTAGTTTACACACCTACTTATTACAATTATTTCTTTCAATACACATACTAGTTTCACATTGTGTTCACAAGATGGAGAGCTTTTAATATGCTTGTATTTTCACAGGGGAAGAATTTCGAGAAAACTGAGATCACAGAGCTGGAGATAGCAGTCGAAAACAAGGAGAAATTATTTCAGTGTGTTGATGGAAAGGCCGTAACAGGTACCACACCAAATCCAAACACCGCCAAAGTGGTAGTGAAAGTCATTAATGTGAACGATCCCCCCGTGTTTAAGAAGCAAGTAGAAAAAGTCTTCCGGAATGAAAACGGACCACCAGGAGATGTGTTGTTCGTGCCCGAGATCAAAGATGAGGACTCGGACGTTAACAATCTCAGGTGTGGATGAGCTGCACAGCATCAAATTACTCATCAATTAAAACTGGTTAATTTTTGAGGATTTGTATGCTACTTTTAATTTTTAATTTTTTCTTACTTTACTTTTATTGTATCATAATTGTATACAATATATAAAATGTCAAAATATGTAACGTATAATATAATATATCAAATTAGGTCACTCTTTAGTTTAGGGACCAATTCTCACTATTAACTAACTACTAACTATGACTAGGGTTAAGGGATCCAAAATATGGTCATGCAGAATAAGGCATTAATATGTGCTTATAAGTACTAATAAACAGCCAATATGCTAGTAATAGGCATGCTAATAAGCAACTAGTTAATAGTGAGAAGTGGTCTCTAAACTAAAGTGTTACCTAAAATCATATGCCAGTTTCATTATGTACACAAGCATTCAAAATTTTGGGGATTTGTAAGATTTTCTAAGGTTTTTGGAAGAAGTCTCTTATGCTCACAAAGGCTGCATTTGTCTGATCAAAACTACAGTAAAACAATGATATTGCAAAATATTATTACAGTTTAAAAAATCTGTCTTCTATTTGAATCTATTTAAAAGGTAATTTATCCGTGTGATCAAATCTGAATTTTCAGCATTACTCCAGTCTTCAGTGTCACATGATCCTTCAGAAATCATTCTGATATGCTGATTTGCTGCTCGAGAAACATTTCTGGTTATTATCAGTGTTGAAAACAAGTTTTTAGGATTCTTTGATGAAAGTTAAAAAAAGAATATTTTTGAAAGCACTTTTTTGAAATATATTTTTTGTAACAATATAAAAGTCTTCAATGTCACTTTGAATCAGTTTAATGAATCCTATAATATATATATATATATATATATAATTGTATTATATAAAATGCAAATATAAAATAAATAAAACATACAGTTTTAGTTACACACACCAGAGATGTAGAGGAAACTGGACGGAGATGTAACAGAGCGTAAACGTGAGTTACAGTCTGTATATGTGTATGCAGGTATGAGTTAATACAAGACCCAGCCAAATGGATGAGTGTGGATCCGAAGACAGGAAAGATCACCACAGTTCAGACGATGGACCGGGAGTCTCCTTTTGTCAAAAATGGCACCTACACAGTCATGGTGCACGCTATAGATGACGGTAAGCATCATGTCTATCTCTCTGTTCTCAGTATGTTCAACACAATCCAAACTTTTGCAAACACATTCTTAAGAACACTAATTTAATCTCTGCTGTTACTGACTTTTTTTCCACATGCTGTTCACAGGACAGCCCCCAGCTACAGGTACATGTTCTGTAGTGGTCTACCTAGGTGACTTAAACGATAATCCTCCCCATCTCATCTCCAAGAATACGGTCATGTGCGGGAACAAAGTCAATCGTGTGGATGTGAAACCAAGAGACCTTGACGGCCCTCCGTTTGCAAATCCCTTTACCTTCTCTCTGGGGGAAGAGCTGAAGAATCTCTGGAAGCTGGATCCCACCACAGGTCAGGCCATGCACATTACTTCATTAACAGTTACACAGATAATGGTTGAGGATGTTTCACCATTTATCTGGCTCCATCAGTTGGTTGCACAATAATAAGTTAATAATAAAATAATACATTTCTTGTTGTGTCTAGTAAAAATATACAAACATGATACATTTACATGAGAATTGCATTAGATACTAGGACTTGTTTATCCAAAACATTTCTTGAATTTGACTAATTACATTGGTAAGAAGCTGCTTATCAATAGTTAGTAAGGTAGTAGGAATGGGGTCAGATTAAGGAATCTAAAATATGGTCATGCAGAATAAGGCATTAATATGTGTTTTATAATTACTAATAAACAGCCAATATGCTAAATATGCATGCTAATAAGCAACTAGTTAATAGTGAGAATTGGTCCCTAAACTAAAGTGTTACCAATGAGACATACCTGTAGTTCCTTGACAACTAACTGAAATAAAATGTTTACATTTTATTTGAAGAAATATAAATATTTTGTTATGGTTTTAGTTTTAGTTAACCCTGTTTTGCTGGGATTGTACCATAGGAACAAACACCTCTCTGATAAGTTTGAGGAGTCTGCCATATGGAAACTACTCCGTTCCTTTGAAGATACAAGATCAGCAGGGGCTGCAAGCAGAAGACGTTCTTCAGGTGGTTGTGTGTGAGTGCACGGGAATCAACACGTGTCGTGGTCGTCTTCCTTTCTCCTCAAGACTGGGCCCGGCTGCCATCGGTCTCATGTTTGCCGGACTTCTCCTACTGGCCTGTGAGTTTCAACGAGACAAAAGCCCAAAAAAAATAAATAAATAAAATACAGTCTAAAACAACAGTTCTGCTCCACTGATTTGTTTGTATAAGCACTTTTGTGTGAGAGTGCAGTACATATAATGGCACATACTTTTACTCCACATGCGTTGTTGTGTAATATGTATGTTATCTAATGACACTTTGTTGTTTTGCAGTTCTACTCCTCTTTTGTTTCCTCTGTGAATGTAAAAGCAAGAACTTTCAACACATTCCTCTGAACCTGGAGGAGGAGGGCAACCAAACCCTTGTCAAATACAATATGGAGGGAGGGGGCTCAATCTATAAGGTATGTGAAACTGTCAGGCTTGCTGACAGTTTAGAGTTATGAATTTAGTAAAAGGAACTGTAGAAACTATCCATTGTGTGCCTGTATTTTTTTGAATGAGATTGAGTTGTATCTGCATCAAAAATCCATTTGGTTTCACTACAAATGAGCAGGTTATTTATGTGTAACCGTATCTTTTTCTAGGACATAAATAAATATAAATTTGTCCAAAATATTTGCAAATAAAGACAGAACCTGTTTACCTGAGAATATTTGGTGCCATTTTACAAGCAACACCTGTGGTCTAAGCCGAACACGTGGTCATCATTTTGCCTGTATTTTTTTTCTTCTCAGTCTGAGACAGTGTTTGCTTCAAATGGTTGGAAGGAAAGCTTGAAAATTGCTTCTGCACCGGTAAATACAAGTTTTTTTTCTTTCTCCTTTTTTTTCTTTTCTCATTGGCCTAATGCCTGCATGGCTGAAAGCCACAGGATTAGACAAGTATGTTGTCGTATTTTGGCACAGTGAACATGATCTCAAGATTAGTTATCCTGAATAGAAAAGCTCTGCATGTTGCTACACGTTGCCTGTAAGACTAACACATAAAAGCAGGCTGTTAACTACATGCTGGTAATGTACACTTGTTATTATTTGGTTGTCAAGCTTCTTTTACAGTTTGGCACATAGTGGAGTTTTGTGCTGACTTAAGTCCATATAGTGCTGTAGTTAGTGTAATATACTGTATATACACTACTGTTAAATGGTTTTGGGTCAGTAAAACTTTTTTTTTTTTTAAAGAAATCACTACTTTGTTCATCAAGGATGCATTAGGTTGATCAAAAGTGACAGTTAAGACATTTATAATGTTTTAAAAGATTTGTATTACAAATAAATGCTGTTCTTTTGAACTTTCTATTCATCAAACAATCCTGAATTTTTAAAAAAATATATAATACATTTTTCAACATTGATAATAATCAGAAATGTTTCTTGAGCAGCAAATCAGCATATTAGAATGATTTCTGAAGGATCGTGTGACACTAGACTGTAATTAAGTAATTATGCTGAAAATTCAGCTTTGATCACAGGAATAAATTACATTTTAAAATTTTTGATCAAATAAATGCAGCCTTGGTGCGTATGAGATTTTAAAACATTTTACCAATCCCAATCTTTTGTGTAATAGTGTATACAGTCTATATATACAGTGTATATATATATATATATATATGTATGTATATACAGAGAGAGAGAGATCAGTATGTGTGTGTGTATATATATATATATATATATGTAACGTAGTTTGTAGGTCGGGAAGAAGGAGGCGGGAACCGGCGAACATTCAAAGAACCTTTAATAATAAACTAAACACAAAATAGCGCGACAGCCCCTCGCGGACGACTGCCGTGCACAAACGAAACCAAAACACAAAATAAAATCCAGGCCTGGTCCTCTCGTCTTTCACTGTCGTCACTCCTCCTTTGTATCCTTCCGGAGCTCCTCCGTGAGACTCGAGACCGGTGAGTGGCGCAGGTGTCGTGCATTCGCAATTACTATATATATATATATATATATATATATATATATATATATATATATATATGTACAGTATATACAGAGAGCGAGAGAACATAATCAGTACGTGTATTGGAAAAAAAACTGCTTTTAAGTTAAAAAATCTCTGTGTTCCATGGAAAAATTGTTATACCTGTTTTGATGATGAATGGGAAGTGCTTGAGCTAAATTAGACAAGAGACATATTTTAGATACATAGTTCTTCTATAGCTTTTTAGACAAACAGTTTAACAACAATTATACATACATATGTAAGAGATGCACGGCTAGCTGTTTATTAAACAATTTTAATGCATGACGTGGAGGCCTTTGCGGAGCTGCTAATAGGCCATTATCAGACTTCCGCATTCGAAAAGCGTTTCAAGTAGTAGCGTAAAAAAACTTCTGCTGCAGCCTTGTATAGATGGCTGTGCCCATAGCATGGGATTGTTGTGATTTATGTAAAACTCAGCACAGATACGTCTTCTAAAGTCACCAAACTCAGTTTACAATCATTAATTGAGTATTGTGAAACCAAGGAAGATGGTTTCATAATATTCCAACGTATATTTCGTGATTTAAAGGGGAGCACGCAAGCCATACTGTATGCGTGTCAGACTTTTGTACCTGTTTTGCCCCCATAGTCCTTCCTGTGTTTCCTTATTTGGTCATTTTCCTGTCCTTAGTAGGAATGTCCTGTCCTGTTTACTCTGATTGTCTTATGTGATCCACCTGTGTGTCTCCAATTATCCCTAGCATTTAAGCTCCTGTCTTTGCGTTTCCCCCCTGTTGGGTCTACTTCGTCTGTACATCTGTCATTCCTCGCTCCTGTGTTGGATTACCCCAGTGTTTCATGAATTAAAAAGACTGTTTATTATACTCCTTGTCTCCACCATTCCTCAGACAGTGTAAGTGTGACAGAAGACCCGACCTAAAACAGTTTAAATTGCGTGTTTCCCCTCCGTTGTGTTTCTTGTTTTTCTCTCAGTGTTTTTGTTTCCGTGGTGTGCCCTGATGGATCCCCTCCTTCGCCCCGAATTCCTCCTCCTCCTGCTGGAGCAGGGGGAGCGCTCACTCGAGGGTCATACCAGACTGTTTCTCACCACCTACCCGGACGACGCACTCTGCGCATTCTATGACGCCAGCCTCAACCCCGCGTGCAGAGCGCCGTCATCCAAAGATGGCCCTCGAGCGAAGCTCACCACATTTTTGGAGTGGACACTGGAGAGACACAGATCCCCGGTCACCGTCTGTCTTGAAGGGGATCTCGCCGGTGCCACTCCAGACCCAGAGCCCAGCCCACAATCTCCCCGCTGTACGGAGCTAAAGCCAGAGCCCACTGATGACGGAGAGCCCATTCCCACCGCGATCTACGAGCCAGCGCAATGCCGTGCGACTGAGCAGAGGATCGCCGCAGAAGGAGAGCCCAAACTGTCAGATCAAGTGCGAGAGCCAGCGACAATGCCTGCCACGAGGGAGAAAGCCGCGGACGGTGTGAGCGCGGAGAGGAGCTCCGCCCCCTGCACCACGGCTGAGGGCGAGCTGAGTATGGCGCAGCAAAAGTGCCAAAGCGAGGAGGAGAGGGCTCCCATCCGTGAATCCAGTCCAGAGTGCCCTCCAGTGCCCGCTCCTAGAAAGTGCCCTCCAGTCCCCGCTCCTAAAAAGCGGCCTTCAGTGCCAGCACCTCGTAAGCGCCCTCAAGTGTCCGCTCCTCCTGAGGGCCACCCTGTTCCCATGTTCAGAGTTAAGCCCTGAATGCCTGGAGATGCACAAATGCCCGCCCTCCCACCCGCTCCTGCCTCCTCCACCGCTGTCGTCTGGCAGCCCCTCTGCTCGCCCTC